GATCTACAGTCCCAATATACGAACCGTAGATCGACCCACGGATCGTAGACGGGGTCTCGTGGGTCCAAAACCCTAAATCTGTCTAACCCGACCCGGACCCCCTTATTTAAAACTCCCCTAATTTCAAATCATTTCCACTTCCCTCCATTCACTCCCCAACCATTTCATACACCCTCAACTCCCCTAAATCACATCATAACTCCCCCCATAAAATCATTCCTCCTATCCCCTATCATTCCCATAATTCCTTTCCATTATGAATACAACTCATTCCATATTCCACTAAAAGGGTCCAGTGTTAGGTTAGTAATGAAGAGGTGATTCTTTGGTCTTGCAAAACCTAGTGTCGTCACGCAATCACCCCACTCCACGTTGCTTGTAAGGTAATCGACTTTCCACTCACTTTGAATTTCGGTTCATAGATTGAATATAGAGAATCGGGACTCGGGTCTTGACCTTGGGTAATTGTTAGATGAAATTGCATGATAAAATTTGAAGTCACCGTACCCTTGGAACAATAGATAGTGATTGTGTTGCCTTGTTGTATGTGATTATAAGTCTACATATAAGTTTCGACTTAGGGGTCCACAGTTTGTCTTAAATAATTGTTAAAATGATTAATCGAAATCCTGAGAATGACAAACTAGCATGATTCAATGTTGAAATGCATGGTTAGACTAGGATATTGTTGAAAATGGTCCACGATGTGGAATTTAAAATAAAAAAATGGCTGAAATTTGGCACATATCACATCGAAGATACCCCGTCTACGGACCATAGATCAATCCACGGACCATAGATTAGGTTCGTTGTTGGATGCACCTGAAATTTCACAAAGTGTGAAACCACGGATGTGGACTACGGTCCGTAGATTCAATCTACAGACCATTCTGTACATCCGTGGTTTCCATCTGTGACCAAGATTGTTGGTCCTTTGATCCACGGAAGAGTTCCACGACCGTGGATCAGTCTACGGACCGTAGGTCTGCTCCGTGGATGACCACTATAGCTTCTGTCTGAAATTTTCTTGGGACTTTGTCACTGTTCGTTTACAGTTCTAAAATATTTGTTAGCTTGTTTATGGTTAGTTTTGGCACTAATCCCAAGAAGCTAGTCACCTATGCAAAACAGGGCAAGTCAAAATATGTTGCTCCTAGCTTCAGGTTAATCGATGAGGACACGGACACAGAAAAAGATCCAGCATATGTTCCTCCCAACACAAGGGCTTCCCCCACGGCACCCCGAGCCACCAGTGGCACCTCCCAGAAGGTGATCAGCGACGTAGTCACTGTCTCCCAGTCTGATGAGGAGCACACACTGATCGAGTCACCAACTGGGGCTGCTTCCAGTTCAGCTACTGGGTTTGCGTCTGGCTCCGAGTCTGCCCTTGCTTCGGGATCGGAGTCCAGCCATGCTTTAGGGTCCGAGTCTGCCCATGCTTCGGGGTCCAATGCCAAGCCAGCCACAGGGTCCAGCCAGGATGACCAAGCTGCCTCGTCTGATGAGGCCACTAGCTCGGAGTCTGTACCAGCACCAAGGAATGAGGATCCTACTCTAGTGGTCGGCTAGCCAAACAAATGGTGTGTTGAGGGACAATGGTAGATTTATCGGGATGCCAAGATGAGAAATAACAAAGGGAAGATGGCCTGACTTATTACAGAGGAGCGCAGAGTCCTCACGGGGAGCTTGCAGACATCCACCGACTTTTTAACCTTCACAAGTGTGATTGGATGGCTCGAGACCCTGGGACTTATAGTGAGGAAATTGTGCGAGAGTTCTACGTCTTTTATGTTGCCACTCTCCGTGGCTCGATCTCCAAGAAGTCAAAGCTCATGAACCAAGATCCTCTCACTTCCACTGTGGTCCGGGGTTGTCCGGTGGACATATCACATGCCACCATCAGCCTCTTTTTGTTTGGTCCGACCACAGGTCACTCTTGGTCACTAAACACAACAGAGTTTGAGTACAGATGGGACACCAAGCGGAGCGGTGCTTTCCAGAGGAATGCTGAACAGCGAGAGGCTGTAATACTATAGTTGGCTAAGTACATTGCTGCAGATGGCAAGTGTGCAGAGTGAGTCGCCGCACCTCGGTTAGGTATCCGAAAGGCCACATTGAATTTTGTGGCCAAGTTCTTCTCGGTGTTGGTGCGTAACAGGGTGTCGCCGACAAAAGCTGACAACTAACTCACATGGGATAGAGCGATCATGGTTGCAGCATTGGTAGCAGGAGTGGAGATTGACTTTGCCCGCATGCTGCTGGCAGAGATTCATGAGAGGGCATTCAAGACCTCCATTACTTACCCCTTTCCATGTTTTATTTTCCAATTGTGCAGGGACTCTGGAGTGCCGATCTGGTATTGTGATAGGTTGATCCACCCTACAGGGACTTTGGACATAGGCCTCATTTGAGATGAGTCAAATGTGGCAGCACCTCGCAGAGAGCCCCAGGTTGAGGTACCTCCCTTGGGCGCAAATCTTCTAGACACGGTGGGGCAGGCACAGGGCGGTGATCCCGTTATACCAGATCACTCTGATACTATCCCGACCTCCTCTTCCCAGGCCACTAATATGGCTTCTAGTTCATCCCGGTCCACACCACAGCTAGGAGCTATTGTTGTCCCATTCGGCAAAGTACAGAAATTAGAGGCCCAGATGGCCACACTGCTGCATCACATCCAGACTTGAATACAAAAGTTGATACCTTATTCCAAGGCCAGAATAGAGCGAAGGATGGAGGGTATGATGGACCGGAAGTTCCAGGCTGTTAATAAGCGTCTTGATGCCTTTGAATTGCGAGTCCTCAAGCAATCAGCCCCGGCCATAGATCTATCCGCTTTGCAGGCTGAATTAGCCAGTCTCCGGACCGGTGTTGATGTCATTCTTGCCACCCCTACAGTTGAGCCTCAAGCTGCACCTACTGCATTGGCTAATGATACTGTGCTGGATGTTTTATTCAATGGGACCACCGAGGAAGGGCTTAAGCCTACACATGCCAGAGGTAAGTGGCACCCTTCTAGTCGCACTGACGAGGAGAAAGCTCAAAAGAGATAGCGTAGGCAGGAGAAGGAGGCCAGGAAGGCTTCGATTTTAGATGAAGAGTTGCGCCAGCGGAGGGTGCGTGAGAGTGCTGCAGGGGCATCGAGTTTTGCCCCAGTTGTAGAGGTCCCGCCTGTTGTGAGGGACGTTATGAGCACCACTGATGGTGCTATGATGGATGATGTGGGCAATACTGAGGGTGACCCTACTATTGTTCCAGCGGGCTCCGGGAAACCGAACCTACCCGCTCGTTCATGATTCTTTAGCGCTATGCGCCACAAGTTTGCTTCACCCAATCCACTATCTTTTACTGTTCTTGTATGCATTGGGGACAATCGCATCTATTTTTGTTGGGGGTGGGGTAAATGGATTGTGAGTGATAGGGTGAAGTCTGAGTAACCCAACTCATAAATCCTCTCTTGGGGTTTTCTTGCCTGTGTTCTTTATCCCCAAGAGACTGTTTAATTTCTGTTGAACCAACATATGTTAGGATTGTATGTATAGAAGCATGAAAAAGATTGAAGCATGATGGCTTATAAAAAATATACCAGTCAAAATTTTGTGATGTGTGCTAGAATTGGTAGGCTAAGACAAGTTGAATGTGTTGGCTCTGAGTATGACATGATAAGGAATCAACTTGATTGCATGACTCAAGCTGAAACTTGAACTGGGTAATCTGATAATCTGATAATGAAACTACGTGCCAAGTGTGTGTGAGAGTAGTTGATTGTTCAAACAGTTTTTGTGCAAAACTAGAACTTGCCCGGTTAGTCCTGCTAAGACAATTCACTCTAGAAGCTAGGAGGTGATCATAGGCCCTTGTTTTGAAAAGTCCACAAATTGCCTAAATGAAAGATCCAACCAAATGAAATAAATGCTCCCTTTGATCCAAATGCTTTGAGCCTAAAATTAGGCCATTTCTTTCTAAACCCCAAAATCACCTTCCCATAAATCTACTATGTTGGCCCTGGTCGCTCTTTGGACATGTGCACCTCGACTTAGGTCAAAAGCCTAAGTTGAGGGTGGCTGATGTAAAAGGTAACTTCAATCTTGGCCCTGACCCGACATTGGGTATTGTGCACTTGAATCAATGGAAAATCCATAAGTTGAGGGTGGCTATGAAAGAGGAAACCGAAAGAAAAATGGGTATGAAAAGAGTTTGATGTTGAGAAAAGAGAGGAATGGATGTGACTTGTTGAAAGCTAAAGAAAAAGCATAAAACGCAAGAAAAAAAAGTGAAAAATAGAAAGATCTACAAAACCTAAAGTCACATCCATGGTTGAAGAGAATCAAGGGAAAGAAGGTAAAATGGTAGGATGACAAAAAAAATAGGGCAGAAAGAGGTTGAAAGCCAAGTGTAATGTCAAGGAGGGCAGAAAGTCACTAAGAAGTACCCAAATGTACCACACCTGACCCTGAGCCTACGTTACAAGTCAAGAAAGTCCTATAGTGATCCTAGAGTCTAATGTGGGGAGTCTAAGCAGTGAAAATACGGGCAAGCCTATGGTATTGAGCACTAACTGTACTTGAAGTTATTTCTGAGTGTGAGTGTTGAATGAATCCTTGTACTCAAAGCCATAGCCATTGTGTGAAAGAAAAGGGATTTCGTTTGAAGTAAGGGCACTAGTTGCATTATCGGAAAGTTGGTACTTTGGTGATAGTAAAATAGTGTATGTTGTGTGTTGGTTGGTCGATCGTTGTCATGGTTTGATCTACATGAATTAGCTTGTCGAGTCTAAGAGAACAAATGTTGCACCCGAAAAGTGAGTGGGATAGAGAGCCATATGATTGCTTGTTCTTGAAATGTTTGCTTCTATACAAGTGTCGTTTAGAGTCTTAGTGTGTCTCTTGAGGACAAACAACGAATTTAAGTTGAGGGTGTTGATATATCGTGAGTTTACGGTATTTCTAATACATTTCACTTACAAGTTGTGTGTGTCTAGGGCCTTTTTGTATGGGTTTTTATGTGTTTTTATCATATTTGGCAGGAAAAATGTTCAGGCGCGAAAATAAAGAGACAGCTGAAAGAAATGCAGAAAAGGGCATTTACGGAGGTGATCTACGGACCGTAGGTCCATTGACGCTCCGTAGATGGTGGTCGTAGATCAGAAGCAAGGCATGGAAGGCAAATCAGGGAAATCTGACCAAGTGTGGAACCACGGTGACCATTGACGATCCGTAGATTGATCTACGGACCGTACTGTTGATCCGTAGATTGATACTGTGAGGGTTCCAGTAACTGATTTTTGAAGATTCTAAGTGTGGAGCTACGGAAGGGGATTGACGGACCATAGATCGATCTACGGTCTGTACTGCAGTTCCGTCGTTTGCTTCAGAGAAGCTGATTTTTGGAAGTTGAAATATTTTCTAAGTCTTGACTGACGGAAGGGACTCACGGACCGTAGATCCATTGACGGTCCGTGAGTCAGTCTCGTGGAATGAAAACGCGTGCCTATAACAAACTTTTCTTATTTTGTTTCCCTTTTAATTTAGGACCTGTTTTCTATAAATAGGGCATGTAAACCTCGTTTTTGGGGGTTTTAGACATTATTATTCTATTCTAGTTCTTGACTTGGGAGATTAACTTGCAACTTTAGCAATTATTAATTTCCTAAGATCGTTTTGAAGATTTTTGAGTTGCAATTCAAGTTGAATTTCTAGGTTTATTACTCTTTGTACGTAAGTTTATAATTCTTTCATCTAAAACAAAGAATTGTGTTCATATGATTATGGGTAACTAAACTCCACAACTAGGGTTGTAGGAACCATGAGCAATTAACAAAGTATGAATAGTAAATAAGCAATTCTTGAATAGTATGGTGCATGCATTGATAATTCTTTCGTTCAGAAGTCTTTTTAGCGGTTGCAAAAGTTAGAACTTACCTTGTTGCTACTTGCCGGATCAAGGAGGTAATCAACAAGAAAAGAATTATCAACATAGATTTAGTGTGATACTATCTAATAGGCTAGTGTCGATTGGTGCGAAGTAATAACTAAGCTAAACATCGATTATGATATCTAACATGAGGTAAAGGTAAGGGTTAGTAAATTACACACATGTAGCCGGACCAAGGTGCGGGGTGAAATTTTCTAGATGCCGGACCAAGGATTTAGAGATACCTAACTTATCACTTTGCATGTAGTGCATTAGGAAAGGATTGCTATTACTAGGATTACTGCGTTATGAGCTTGTGGGGAACACGTATACCCTAGTTATTTCACTCATCTTAATAACAACCAAAACTGACTTTTGATTACTGATTATTTATTGAATTCTTACAATTTGTTTCACAAACCCCCCCCCCCCTTTAATTACTTGTTTCTGGAAGTAATTTAACTAATTGAATATAATTGTTGGTTAAAGTAAAGTCTAAACCATTTTCCTCGCGGGTGATTCTTGCCACGTTTAAACCAGCAATGACACCGGCATCCTTAGTGGCCTGCCTCTGGGCATCATTGAAGTATGTTGGAACAGTGACAACTGCATCCTTGATTGTCTTTCCAAGAAAAGCTTCTGTTGTTTCTTTCATCTTGATCAGAATCATAGCACTGACCTCCTCAGGACTGAAGACCTTGGTCTCCCCATCTTTGATTTTAACTTGGATATATGGTTTCCCATCCTTGTTAACAATCTTATAGGGAACAAGTTTCATGTCCCTTTGTACTTCTTTGTCTTCAAACTTTCTCCCGATAAGTCTTTTGACGTCAAAGACAGTCCTCTCTGGATTAACAGCCGCTTGATTTTTAGCTGCTTCACCGATCAGTCTCTCACCATCAGTGAAGGATACCCATGAAGGGGTGATACAATTACCTTGGTCATTTGCTATGATCTCAACATGTCCATTCTTGTAAACTCCAACACAAGAATAAGTTGTTCCAAGATCTATGCCAATAACGGTTCTTAACTTGGTAGCTTCTTCTTTAGCTATAGAGAATGCAAACAAGCTCCCTAAAAGGAAGATTGCGAAAACGATCGAGGATACGCGTCTCTTCAACGCAGTAGCCATAGCTCGTAGATCCAAACGAACAATGTGTTCTTCGTTTATCTTCTCCGATGACAGATAAAGGTAGTTATCGATTTTCCGATCAACAATTAAAGCCCTGCGGCTGCCATTGCCTATGGATTAGATAAGAAAGGTGGTGAAAAGAACATCCTTGTCTTTGACCTTGGTGGTGGTACATTTGATGTTAGTATCCTTACTATTGACAATGGTGTTTTTCAGGTTCTTGCCACAAATGGAGACACTCATCTAGGAAGAGAGGATTTTGACCAGAGGATTATGGAGTATTTCATTAAATTGATAAAGAAGAAGCATGGTAAGGACATTAGCAAGGATAACAAGGCTTTGGGAAAGCTCAGGAGAGAAGCTGAGCGTGCCAAGAGAGCCCTGAGCAGTCAGCATCAAGTCAGGGTAGAGATTGAGTCCCTCTTCGATGGCGTGGATTTCTCTAAACCACCTACCCGGGCTCATTTTGAGGAGCTGAACAATGATTTGTTTCGTAAGACAATGACTCCTGTCAAGAAGGCTATGGAGGATGCTGGTCTAGCAAAGAACCAGATTGATGAGATTGTCTTGGTTGGTGGAAGTACCAGGATTCCAAAAGTTGAACAGCTTTTGAAAGATTACTTTGATGGCAAGGAGCCTAGCAAAGGTGTCAACCCCGATGAAGCAGTTGCTTTTGGTGCAACTGTACAAGGAGGTATTTTGAGTGGAGAAGGAGGTGACGAAACCAAAGATATTCTTCTCTTGGATCACCTCCACTAACTCTTGGTATTGAAACTGTTGGAGGAGTGATGACAAAGTTGATCCCAAGAAACACTGTCATTCCTACTAAGAAGTCTCAAGTCTTCACCACTTACCAGGACCAGCAGACAACCGTCACAATTTCGGTCTTTGAAGGTGAACGCAGTATGGTAAAGGACTGTACACTACTCGAGAAGTTTGACTTAACAGGAATACCTCCAGCACCAAGAGGAACACCTCAAATCGAAGTAACTTTTGAGGTTGATGCCAATGGTATCCTAAACGTGAAAGCTGAGGATAAAGCCTCTGGAAAGTCAAAAAAGATTACCATCACGAATGACAAGGGTCGTTTGAGTCAAGAAGAAATTGAAAGTATGGTGCAGGAGGCTGAGGAGTTTGCCGAGGAGGACAAGAAGGTGAAAGAACGAGTTGACGCCCGAAATAGCCTGGAGACATACGTATACAACATGAGGAACCAAATAAATGACAATGACAAACTTGCAGACAAGTTAGAGTCTGATGAGAAGGAGAAGATTGAAACCGCCACAAAAGAAGCACTTGAATGGTTAGACGACAACCAGAGTGCTGAGAAGGAGGATTATGAAGAGAAGCTGAAAGAAGTTGAGGCAGTGTGCAACCCAATTATCACGGCTGTGTATCAGAGGTCTGGTGGAGCACTAGGAGGTGCCAGTGAGGATTCCAACGAGGACGATGATTCACATGATGAGCTGTAATTGAATTTGTAGGTTAATAGTTTTTTATTGTTACCAAATAGATATAAATAATCTCACTGATAGAGAATTTAGAAGGAGAAAAACAAAGAATACGTAAGAAGAGAAAAGAATTTGCTGGAGAAGTTAGTTGTTTTATTCATGACTTCAAGCCTATATATAGGCAAATACTTAACAGATAATCCATTTAAACAGGACACATATCAGTCCTATTATCAACTTACTCCAAAAAAATAGAGCATATGACTCCTAAAGCAAGCATAACTCTTTACTCCACTAATTCCTAAAAATCAAAACAACCTGCAAACTGCTGCAATTAAAAAGAATTAAAACTCCTAAAGACTAGGTCAACTGCCAACAGAAAACTACGACTAAACTTTCAACAGTTCCCCCTTAAACTGATGTTTGCTATCAGTCAGTTTACGTCTTTGATTGTACATACACCTAGGAGCCTTCTAAGTTTCATGAATGACTCCGTCTTCAAAGCCTTGGTGAAAATATCGGCAACTTGATCTTCTCTCCTGCAGTAAATCAGATCAATTGTTCCATTATTGCTAAGATCTCTTAAGAAATAAAACTTCACATCAATGTGCTTGCTTCTTCCATGTAGCACCGGATTCTTGGATAGCTGAATTGCTAAATCATTGCCACAAAAAATCTTAGTGGCTTCTTCTTGCTTGAATTTTAACTCCTCCAAAAGTCTCCTCAACCAAATAGCTTGACGCACAAGCAGTCGCAGCAACAAACTCGGCTTCTGTAGTAGACAAAGTGACAATTGGTTGCTTCTTAGCCGACCATGAAATAGCACCGGACCCGAACATAAAAGCATAGCCTGAAGTGCTTTTCCTGTCATCGCGATCACCAGCATAATCACTGTCCGTATACCCAAGAAGATTGGACTTTTCACTCTTTTTATAAACTAGTCCAAAGTCTCTCGTTCCTTGCAAGTAATTTCACCATATTAAGGGTGGAACGTAGAACAAGTTGGGAAGAAATCGTGAGTGAAGGACGTAATGTTGTCGCTTTAAAAAAAAGATTATTTATATCTATTTGGTAACAATAAAAAACTATTAACCTACAAATTCAATTACAGCTCATCATGTGAATCATCATCCTCGTTGGAATCCTCACTGGCACCTCCTGGTGCTCCACCAGACCTCTGATACACAGCCGTGATAATTGGGTTGCACATTGCCTCAACTTCTTTCAGCTTCTCTTCATAATCCTCCTTCTCAGCACTCTGGTTGTCGTCTAACCATTCAAGTGTTTCTTTTGTGGCGGTTTCAATCTTCTCCTTCTCATCAGACTCTAACTTGTCTGCAAGTTTGTCCTTGTCATTTATTTGGTTCCTCATGTTGTATATGTATGTCTCCAGGCTATTTTGGGCGTCAACTCTTTCTTTCACCTTCTTGTCCTCCTCAGCAAACTCCTCAGCCTCCTGCACCATACGTTCAATTTCTTCTTGACTCAAACGACCCTTGTCATTCGTGATGGTAATCTTTTCTGACTTTCCAGAGGCTTTATCCTCAGCTTTCACGTGTAGGATACCATTGGCATCAACCTCAAAAGTTACTTTGATTTGAGGTGTTCCTCTTGGTGCTGGAGGTATTCCTGTTAAGTCAAACTTCCCAAGTAGTCTACAGTCCTTTACCATACTGCGTTCACCTTCAAAGACCGAAATTGTGACGGTTGTCTGCTGGTCCTGGTAAGTGGTGAAGACTTGAGACTTCTTAGTAGGAATGACAGTGTTTCTTGGGATCAACTTTGTCATCACTCCCTACAAGTTGGGTTCTTTACTTGATAACGATCGCTTATGCCTCTTTAGGGAGATGTAATTTGAGCGTATCTGGTTTATAGTCAGTCGACGAGGTATTGAGTTAGATCCTTCAAAAATAAAAACCATTCAGGAATTGCCATCTCCAAAGAACAAAACTGAAGTTATGAGCCTTCTAGGAAGGTTAAACTACATCAGTAGATTCATTGCTCAACTCACAACAACTTGCGAGCCTATTTTTGAGTTGTTAAAAAAGAATTCCATAGTTGAAGGGACTGAAGAATGTCGAGAGGCTTTTGAAAGAATTAAGAATTACTTATCGAATCCCCCTGTGTTGGTTCATTGATATTATATATGTCAGTACTGGATAATTCTTTTGGTTGTGTATTGGGTCAGCATGATGGCACTAGGAAGAAAGAGCATGCCATTTATTACCTCAGTAAGAAATTTACCGTTTATGAATTGAAGTACACCCTTCTTGAAAGAACGTGTTGTGCCCTAACTTGGGTAGCACAGAATTTGAAGCATTATCTTTCATCTTATACTACTTATCGCATTTCTTGTATGGATCTGTTAAAATATATTTTTCAAAAGCCCATGCCCACGGGCAGGCATGCGAAATGGCAAATATTACTCACAGAGTTTGACATTATCTATGTGACGCAGACCGCAATGAAAGCTCAAGCATTAGCAGATCATTTGGCAGATAACCCTATTGATGAAGAATATGAACCACTTAAGACCTATTTTCCAGACGAAGAGATATCATGTATCAGTGAATTTATTCACGATAACAATCAAGGATGGAAGTTGTTCTTTGACGGTGCCTCTAACAAGAAGGGAGTTAGAATAGGAGTTGTTCTTATGTCTGAATCAGAGGAATATTACCCTATAACAGCCCAACTCAGATTCTATTTTACTAATAATATGTCAGGTATGAAGCTTGCATTTTGGGTTTGAGGTTAGCTACTGACATGGGCATCCAAGAATTGTTAGTGTTAGGAGACTCAGACTTGCTAGTTCATCAAATTCAAGGAGAATGGGAAACTCATGACCCAAAGCTTATACCATATCAACATTGTTTACAAGATCTTTGTCAACGATTTGTGGCAATAAAGTTTAGACACATTCCTAGAGTTCACAATGAGATTGTGTATACATTGGCCACTTTATCTTCGATGCTCCAACATCCTGATAACGCTCATATCGATCCTTTATACATACAAATTTGTGATCAACATGCTTGTTGCAACATGGTTGAAGAGGAATTTGATGGTAAACCTTGGTTCCATGATATTAAAACATATCTTCAGTCTGGAGAATGTCTGTCGGATGCAACTAGTAATAAAAAAAGAACTATTTGGTAACTAGCTATCGGGTTTTTCTTAAGTGGAGGCATATTTTACAAGAAAAAACCTGATTTGGGTCTTCTAAGATGTTTAAATGCTAAAGACGCTTCAATAATCATGATTGAAGTACACTCAGGAGTTTGTGGACCTCACATGAATGGATATGTTCTGGCAAAGAAGATACTTCGAGCAGGTTATTATTGGCTCATCATGGAGAGGGATTCCATATGATTTGTTTGTAAATGTCATGAATGTCAAATACACGGTGATTTGATACATTCTCCTCCCTCCGAGTTGCATGCGATGTCTGCTCCATGGCCTTTCGTTGCATGGGGAATGGACGTGATTGGACCAATAGAACCAAAAGCATCAAATGGTCATAGGTTCATTCTGGTGGCCATTGATTATTTTACAAAGTGGGTGGAAGCAGTAACTTTCAAGTCAGTGACCAAGAAGGTCGTGGTGTATTTCATTCATTTCAACATCATCTGTCGATTCGGTATTCCAAAGGTAATTGTTACCGATAATGCTGCAAATCTCAATAGTCGTTTAATGCAAGAGGTATGCCATCAATTTAAGATTGAACATCGAAATTCAACTCTATATCACCCAAAAGAAAATGGGGCTATAGAAGTTGCTAACAAAATATAAAAAAGATACTTCGTAAAATGGTGCAAGGTTCTCGACAATGGCATGAAAAGTTGCCTTTTGCTCTGTTGGGTTATCGCACTACAGTTCGTACGTCAGTGGGTGCCACTCCCTGTTTGCTGGTATATAGGACTGAGGTAGTTATACCTGTAGAGGTTGAGATTCCATCCCCACGGATTGTTGTGGAGGCTGAAATTGATGATGATAAGTGGATCAGAACACGGTTGGAGCAATTAACTTTGATTGATAAGAAGCGATTGACATCAGTATGCCATGGACAATTGTATCAGGAAAGAATAGCACGAGCATACAACATAAAGGTGCGTCCCAGACGTTTCGAAGAGGGTCAATTAGTATTGAGACGCATTTTGCCACACCATGTCGAAGTCAAAGGCAAATTTTCTCCAAATTGGAAAGGACCATTCATTGTAAAGAAGGTATTATCCAATGGTGCTCTTTACTTAGCAGATTTAGAAGACAAAATGACAGAAATGGTCATCAATGCTGATGCTGTGAAAAAATATTATATATGATTTGATTTTTCGATATTAGAAACCCTCATGTTTGGACTTGACATTTTGAAGGTTGATGTAATGGAAATTCTTGGTTCTGTGTCTAAGTATTAAGTCACATATTGCTACCCTCGTTGAGATCTAATTTACTTCCTTGGCCCTTCCACTTCCTTGGTTCTTCCAACAAAAAAAATAGTCTAGCCTGAACTACGTTTGACCTGATTCTTGTTTTGTCAAGATACGTAGGCAGCCCTGGTGTTGGGGTTCGGTCCAACCAAATAAAAAATTCAAAATTCCACATTGCAAAAGACTGGGGCAAAAGTCGTTTCCTTTTATTTTTGTTTTATTTCTTTCTATCCCGAAGCTAAAGCCAACCCCATCATTTAAAGTCGTATTAACGCTATCATTTCTTTCTTACCTAGTCAAAAAATCGTGTTTCAATCAAAGAAGGACCTTTGGATCAACCTTTCAAATGTCAAGAGTAAGTATGCTAAGGGTACGAACGATGACACCATACTCCTTTCATGAAAAAAAAATGAGAGTCTTATTGGTGAAAACCTTAATTGGGCATCACGAGATGAAGGTGAGTTGAGAGAAATAAAACTGAGAGAGTTCTGTTGGTGAAAACCCTAACGGGCACCATAAGGCGAATATGAGTTGAAGGAATCAAAATGAAAGAGTCTTAGTGGTAAAAATCCTCATGGACATCATAAGGCGAATAAGGGTTTGAAGCCTATTATGACTTCGTTAAAGGTTGAGACCCCACATAAAATTTGAGGATGGTTGGTGAATAATTGGTGGACAAATCGGGTAATCAATTCGAATTGCATGTCATGATCAGTAGAGTCAGCTACCACACTCAGATAAGCTTTCTTTCTTCCTCTCTCTAAAAGAGATTCTTCTTCGAATCATTTTCTTATATTCTTGTGTAGTATATATTTTTCTTCCACTTTTCATCACTTTGCTTCATATGTCCTTGAGTTGAGTCTGTGTCAAGAAGGCGAGAAAGGATTTCAAGACTTGCTACCAACTCTGGATTTGTACAAGGCAAAGCATCAGGCCAATGAGTTATCAACTGTCAATAAGTTTCGGATTCAGAAGAAGTCCATGATTTAATGAAGGCTAAACAATGAGTGTCGTGAAACAAAGGCAGATATTGGATTTAAGTCCCTCAAAGTAAACAAATTTGGGTGAAAATGCAGTCAATCAATAACGAGCACTGGCCGTTTGGAAATAAGTAGAACATGACAAGTACTTGAGCAATCCTCATCAAAAGGCAAAACCGCAAACCAACCACCACATTTTTAAACTCACAAATTTTCTTTGTTGTAGCAGGGGTACAAGTTATTTCAAGATCAAAGCTCTGAAAAACCTAGATATTCAATTTAGTCTACAAAGAACAAAATAACAACATTGCAATAAAGGTTTGTGGAGCCCCATTACAGGGAAGTTGGTCAATATATATATATCAAAATAACAATTACTTGAGAGATTGAATCAACTTTTCTTGAATATTCCACAAATAATATTGATAACACTCACAAAAAAAAAAAATTATGGTCCATACTGGGGCAAATATTTTGTTTGTATTATTAGTCTACTAAATGTATTAGCAGGACCCTCTTAAATAATGGGACTAGCAGGACCCTACTGGATAATGTGACTAGCAGGATCCTATTGGATAATGGGACTAGCAGGACCCTCCTGGATTATGGGACTAGCAGGACCCTCCTGGATTATGGGACTGGTAGGACCCTCCTGGATAATGGGACTGGTAGGACCCTCCTGGATAATGGGACTGGCAGGACCCTCCTGAATAATGGGACTAGCAGGACCCTCCTGGATAATAGGACTAGCAGGACCCTCCTAGATAATGGGACTAGCAGGATCCTCCTAGATAATGGGACTAGCAGGATCCTCCTAGATAATGGGACTAGCAGGACCCTCCTGGATAATGGGACACTAGCAGGACCCTCCTGGATAATGGGACACTAGCAGGACCCTCCTGGATAATGGGACTAACATGACCCTCCTGGATAATGGGACTAGCAGGACCCTCCTGGATAATGGGACTAGACTAATATATTTTAATTTAACCGGTTCATCGTGAGGAATGGAGTTGGTGTAAACACGCATAAGCCCTCTGAAGAGTACATTGCAATAAAGCTCGAGTCATTCAAAGTCTTGATTCGAAGCTAAGCACCATATTTTATTTCTCTCACAAAATTTTCTTTGATATAAACTGGGGAATTTTTTTTGTGTTATTTCTTTGTTTATTTTAATTTCAGGAATCCATTGATAGAATGGGGTCAATCCACATTTCAAGCTCAGGATTTTATATGGAAAAGAGTCTAACTTTCAAGCTCAATTTCAATTGAAGAAGCATGAGCTCATTCTAAAAAACACAATCAATATCCAAGTACGAGTAAAAAAGGAACCTACCCGGAGAAAGGTGTTTACCTTTGAACTCATTTGAGATGAAAATCAAT